CAAACCTAAATTATTTAATATTACAGGATAATTTTATTTTGCAATTTTCTGTAGTATATTTAAAATTATTCTTTTTTTTGTTGGTCATTAAGAACAATAAGTGAGTAATAAACAGTAACTCTAAAAGTTAATTAATACATTGAAAAAAACCGTGCCATGATGAACTTTCAGAACTGCGACTTCAAAAGAATAAAAATACATTTACGCCCTTGGTTGGCGAATATAAATTTTCATGAATCGGATATTGTCTTTCTATGATTGAAATAAAAGTCGTTCTTGCAACCTCGAGTATCATTTCCCAGACTCGTTTAAAAAGCCGGTAAATCTGAATTAATACCCGTATAAAATACACAGAGAACTTCATTGAAACCGTACGCTATTTGCATTACTTCATAGAACAATCTTGCCATAAATTCTCTCTTTCTTTCTACACCATACATATGTATAACAAAATAATTACATTCATCTGTTTCACGATATAACGATTTCAATTAATTTTTCAATGAATATTTTCTTTTTAATTACACAGGAATAAATTGTTTGACACAGAAACACTGAGAAAAGAACTATATACAAATTGTTCTATAATAGTAACTGCAACTGAAAATGCCATAATGTACATATGTAAGTACAGTAGTACTTCATTTATCTAAATATACCTATGAATATCACTCATTGCAAAGCAACCCCTTTTATATAATATAATTTGTAATTATTAAAATTTTATAATTTTTCAAAAATTATATAAGATTACATTTATCCAATTATTGGTCTTTGCAATACTTATCTTGGTTTGAGAAAGTTTATCTTTAACCATGTAAAACTATGAACACGTCTCCCATCTCGCATTTAATAAGTGTCAGCCTAAATAAGAATTAATTGTTCCACTCAAGGCGCATTGTGACGAACGAGACCCCTGTTCACGGGTCAAAACACTGTACTAATGGTTGGAACGTCGATCGATATAAAATCGTAATTATTCTTAGTTACTTTCTCTATGGCCATACTTTACCTTTATTTAATATTGATCTTTTACGATTACGGACTAGAGGTTTAACGAATTAATTCATATTAATGTTGTACATTTGAAAAATGAAAAATGACAATAATAAGCTTCGAGAAGAGAGAATCAAACTCAAGTGGAGCCTAATGATATAACAGAGAGAAATCGATATTCAAAAGTAAATCACCTCGAATATTTATTTATTTTTAATCGTCAATGAAGGGAAACTTAGCAAGTATAAGTAAAATAATATCGTGATTACGTGAAGAAATAGAAAAGGGAGAAGTTTATTGGAAAAGAACAAATATAAATTATTGTCGATAGTAAGCCAGGCAAATTGAGTTTCAGGAAAGAAATAAATATTGTATTTCGATCTGCGTTGAAAATTCCACATTTTTTATCTGTTGGCTGAATTGAATTCAGTCAGCAATATCAGTTTAACTTCATCAAATTTCCACATTAAAAATGTTTGAATCGAATTTTGTGAAAACTTAAATATTTCTGATGTAGAAATTCAATTAAGTTAAACTAATGTATGCTTTTGATCTCATAAAATATACTAATAATATTTAATTAAAGTACTTCTATAAAATATTTCGTTGAACGTGAACGTATACAGAATTATTTTACGATAAAATCATGTATAACGGTAAAACTAATTATCGACAAGGACTATCCGATAAGCAGTTTAGGATACCGGTAAATTGATCATTAAAGAACGATATAACGATACAAATTGCACTGCAAGACTGATTTAATGTACTGTTTGTTATGTTCTTCGTATTGTTCCGAGGACAACTTGCTTGTTTCAGTTTTCTGTTAAAAGCGATTAAGAATCAATAAATTACATATTATGAATGCATGAAATAAATTGTATAATTGGTCATAGATAATCTTTCAATTCAATCAGTAAGATAAAGAAAAACCTAAAATTATATATTTATTTTCTGTAGTTTTTCTTTTCCAGGTTAGTACGGACTTGGTCTACTTTTCCAACCAGCAAACTTAACATCTCTCGTACTTAATATTTATATTAGGTCATCCCATAAGTTCGTGCCGTTTTTCGAACGGTTATATATGTTATTTTTTTTAAACATCTATGAATCGTTGTCTTAGGTATTTTCAGAACATTTGACATCTCTTGAACTGTCAAACTTCGTGATTTTTCAACAAGATCCCGAATTTTATCTTCGTCTGTCTGCGGAGGACGCCCGGAGCGTTCCTCGTCTTCTAAACAAAAATTCCCAGCTCTACGTTGGAACCACTTCCTACAGGTGCGAGATGAAAGCTCATTTTCTCCGTAAACAGCACATATGTTTTTCGTGGCAATTGTTACAGAATTTCCTTTCCGAAATTCATATAACATGAGATGTCGAAAATGGATACGCATTTCACTCATGACTTTTTACTGTTAGAAGTCACTGTGTTCACTATATTACGATCTTATATCCACGAAAATCTGCTCTAGCCTGTTCTTGATCAGCTAAGCTCAAGTGCATTGGCTCCTTATCGCCGTATGTTTATAAATCGACACATGAAATGTATACACAAAAGTCGCCACGAACTTATGGGATGACCTAATATAAAAGAGTATTTTCCTTTATCCTAATGAATAAGTTTAATAAGATATATTCTGTGGTACTATTTCAAGTGGAAACTTTATAATAATAATTTATTATATTATGGTAAACATATAAAATATAGTATTATTATATAAATAACTAACATAATATTATTTGAAGTTACAACGAATATAAATAAAAATTAAATTTAAAAGATTATTATGTTTTGAAATTTTTCAAAAAAAGAATAGTTTAAAATTGTTCTATTAATTATATTAGTTATATCAATTATATGTTAAATGTTATTATTTATTAACTAAAAATTGCGTAAACTTTCCCTTTTTCTAATGTTTACATATTATAATTAATGCTTCTATGGACAGTTTTCATAAATAACGATATGTTCCACTTGAACAAATTGTTAAAAGTACTTTGTAAAATATTATCGAAAATTAAAGTAAAAATAGCATTTGAACCTGCATTTGAAACCTCAATAGTGCATTTTAAAATCTATCCGTGCCGTTAGTTACCGCATTACGATCAATTTATATTTCGTTCGATAATTATATAAGACGAAACTTTGTTGCATCGTATAGGAATAATCATTATCGCCCACGGACAATCCATATATTTTCATGAATATCACTCTGATTTATTATGAAACTATAAAGCAGTAAAGGAAAGGAAAAAGTGATGATCCAATAATTCGAAAATATGGTTAATGTATACTTTATGACCAAAAATTATACTTCAAGAACTGAACATAAAAAATACAATAAAGAAGTATATCAAAATTTCTAATTTAAAAAAAATTTATTTTAAATTTAATTTAATTTTAAAATCTCAATTTAGCAAAGAGAAAGAAAGGAATATATATTCCATTCATTTACGTATGTATGTTTATATGTATTAACTATTTTGCTATAACTATAACTAAATTACAATAAAATAATATATATTAAATAGATATAGATAAGAATATATATATATATATATCCAAACCTCCAAACCCTAGTTTAACAAAAAGAAATATTCTACTCGTCTCTTTGTCATTGTAATACCGAAATATGCAATGTCTTCGAAATCATAATATGTGCATAAAAATGATTTATCAAACGGTGAAATGCAATTGAAATCATAGCGTGACCTAGTAAAAGTCAGCGATATACGTGCGACTACAAAGGGACAACTGTGATTCCCCGGTGGCGAAGCTTGAAAATCTGGCCTCAAAAAAACTCCACGAATCTCGGTCAGTTAACCGTGCGTAGGCGAGGATAACGCGACTTCGCCTCTCACATTCATAGCATACCGTAATTACATTACAAGAGACATTGAACACCGACACATAAGTAACATGCTATTCCATAGATTGTAAAGTGTGGATCGCGAAATGATTTTCAAAGGATAGTATTAAATATCAACATATAGAGTAATTAACATCCCTTCTACACGAAAAACAATTATTCGTTATCCTTTATCTCCCATTATTATTTGAAACAATGAAATATTTTATTTCATGTAAATAAATTATTTAGAAATAATTTACATTTCAAGTACGATTTTGAAATTTATTTGCAAATGGCTTTATTTTCAAATAAACTTTCTTACTATTTTATTTAGTGTAAATACTTGATTTTTTCGTCTATTATTTCTTTTCCAAGTAAAAAGTGATCAACTCTGATTCTGAATCAGTCACTGGTGGTCCGCGTACTAAAACAGGACTGCTAATTATGATAATATGTTCAACTGACTCCCTTGCGTATTCAGTGCTATACTAAATTGGGAACCTGTGCTAAAGACTTGAAATTCTTTTTGGATCGAAAAATTATCTAATTTGTAACATTGTAACATAGAGTTCTGTTTAATATTTGAATATATTAAATTTTACGTTCAATTTTTCATTCCACAGTATTTTACTACGTTATTAAATGTTCGTTTCATGAAAATTACGGTAGCAATAAAATTCGCGTTAATAAAAGGTCACCGATGAGGAATCGCGAAACGTAATAAAAATTTCAACATTCAAACCGATCATAACTGCTAATTATAGTACAATGAGATATAGAATGTTATAATAAAGTAGTTAACAAAAATAAAATTCATATCCAAGTTAATTAAACATGTTAAAACTCTATTTTCTTGAAAACAAGGCCTTAGATTCGAAAAAATTATATGTATTCTATATTTTTTACTTATTTTTCCACGTGGAATAACCTCTTGCTGGTTATGTTTACTCGTACCCAGACGATAAATAAACAAATTCACGTTATTAAGCAAACTTTTAAATTCAATTTTATCAAAAATGAGATGGAATATGAAAAGATTTTATTGTCTATTCCTGATTTATTTTTTCACATAGAATCACCCCCCCCCCTTGTTGATTGTACCATGAGAAATGCGATATAAACAAATATTAAATAAAGTTATACACTCACCTGATTTGCTTTGTTAATCTGTTTTTTTAACCCTGCGAACGCCATGGTGGTGTTGATGATACTTCTATTCTCTCTCTAGACAGAAATAAGCAGAAAGCCTGCAAGCAGAAAAAAGAGAAAAAAGGATAATCGATGTGTGTGTGTCGCGAAACGATCGCAGCAAATTTTCGAAAAACGAAGAGAGGAAGGGTTTGAATTTATGACTGGTCGGTTGGTTGCTCGCCAGATCCAGCCATCCACGGACGGATGATTTTCAATGTTATCGATCGACCACGTTTTCCAGCATCCTGACTTACTTCTGATGTAATAAACGCCGACACACATGTACATGCTAATCCTTTCCAATATTTCACACACGCGTATACAGAATCAGTGTGACGAAGAAATATCATCAGAAATGATTAACAAATTACGAATATATTTAAACGAGGGTATTCTGTTTTAAAATACCTACCTCGTTTCAAATATTTATTGAGATTTTTTTTCAAGAAATTGGAACACTTTCTGCATTGGCTTTTTGCATATATGTTTAGTAACGTTTGAGAAATATTCACGAATTTTTTCAAGTGAAAATTCTAAACAATCCTATTGCATTTCAATCATTTTCAACTTAATTGTATTCTTCTGATACTAAAAAATATCTCATTTGAACAAAATACAAAAAGAATATTATTATCTTAAGATAAACATCTTCTAAAAGAATAAAGAAATCTTTTCATTTTGCTGAGGTGAAAGTAAGTTTGAAATAATAAAATAAAAATTCATGGATGAAACTGACTGTATACTAGTGATAGCATCAAATTCAATATTATATACACATATGTAACTCATAAATCCTATAAATAATTTCATAGAATTTGAATAGTACTTGTAACATACAACGTTTCATTAATTCTACTTGCCAAATATTCGATCCTCACAAGCTGGCTTCGAACCCTGGAACGAGTACTCGAAACGAATAGTTCAATATCAGCAATCGAATTACGAGAATCAGAAAAACATTATCATCTTGTTGAATTTTTCTAAAAAAAGGAAAAATCTATAGAACTGTAGGTGATATATGGAATTCGTATAAATTTTATTTGAACGTTTTACACTTATAAGTATTTAAAAAATGACTTTAAGCGATTAGAGAATTTCCGGAAAGACGCTCGTATAGTTTCGAATTTATTTGATCAGTTCGATCGGTTCTACTTGGGACTATTCTATTATTTTTATTTGCTAAAGTACTCGTAGAAGATGCGAATCTGATGCGTTTAGGTTCGAATCTAGTTGAAAGTAGTTTCTTTCGAAATACTTATATGTAGAGTGTTCGAACCTCATTGATCAATGTTTGAACATACTTGTAATGTATACTTTCCAATATTGCATATATTTGCATGGATATGAAAATATAATAATAACTGTATCATAATATATTCATCATTTTACAAAACAATTACTATTTTGAAGAAACTGATACATAGGAAATGGAACAAAGGAACAATTTAGAAATATGATAATCACAGAAATAAACTTACAAGATATAAAATTGGAACTAGATATAAATTCATAAGTATTCAGTAGTATTAGGACACTTTCGAAAACATAAGTAAATCTGTAAGGCCTATTATCTGTTTAATTAGACAATTAATACCAGATTGTACCAAAAGTTCATACTGAATGTTAAGAAAAATTTATCTAGAATTAATCCTTTTACCATCTGTAGCTTTACGAAATGAATGTCGGCATGAAAAATTGTTCGTCTTGACTAATAAATCCCATCACATAGCTTTTATAGCCTTCTGGTATATTTCATTTCTCATCTATTTCTTTTGAATAAGATTTATAAAGGTCATGATAAACAATAACGAGACTCTGCCATATTTGTTGAATGAGACAGATAGAGGTGAACATGATAGCTACGATTCAACACTTCTTGGATATACAAATCTCAACGTTGTCTCACTTCAAAAGAAAAAGCTATTTCATTAACAAATTTTCGACATTTTTCTTTAATTCTCGTTAATTAAAAATTATCCAACTAAACACAATATTTGTTCGAAAGTTCCACTATTCCATAGAAATTCATATAATAGAAACGCTATCAACTTTTTGTATAACCTAATACACTTATACAGAGTTCGAATCTAATCGATGAATATGCTACTCGCAGTGTGTTCGGGCTCATCACTAATCCTGACGCAAATTTTCATAGAAAATTACATCATACGTTTTAGTCCTAGCGAGATTCTTATAAGGCCTTTCCGTCATGGAGCAAAGACTCCAAAAATAGAGTGTCACGTTCATAAAGAGGAATTAACGAGTGGCGTCCCTCTTAATAAGCCGCGCGCTTCTTCGAGGAGAACAGAACAAGTGTCAGACGAATAAGGGCAAAGGTTGCATTGGAGGGAAAATGATTCACCTATGCATTTAATAACGGGCTAATAATGACTGCTAACGGTTAACATCAAGAATAATACAAGTGTACACTGGTGTTACATAGAACTAAATTCCCTTCCAATTGACCCGGTGCTGACATGACAGCGCTGGTCTCCGCTCTACGTTCACCTTTATTTGTGACAGTGTTAAAAACACCCAAAATTCTATCTATTTAACTAAAATCTAGCATTTTTCTCATCTTTCAAAATATGTAGAAATATGTCAAAAATATCTCTCTTTTAGTATCCTCTATCTTATAAGTAAAGTTATGTCACACAATGTGTTCCGAAATAATAATATTAAAATTAAAATATGAGCAATTAATACTAAGATTAAAATACAACAAAAGTAACATTAAAATTAAAATACGAAAAGTTAATACTATATATTTGAAGTCGAATGAAGGGAACTTCAGTTTTCTGAGATTTTAGCTACAGAGGACATTCGCAATCTGAAAGTTAACCATCATGATAACGTTGGAAACACGAAGAAAGCAATAAAATATGTTCTCAACTATCCGCAAGCAAAATTGGTCAGAAAATGACCAATGAGCCAAAATTCGTGCAAAGAGGACCAAACGACTGGCAATTGCTCTAAATTCTAAATATTCCAGAATAATTTGTTTCCTTTCCATAAATAAAAGACACTCGGACCAAAGAAGCAACGTATATCGAGTATAATACACGGACTAACAGATAGATCGAACTTCTGAGGGATTCTTAACAGATGCAGATGTAACGATAGAGCAGACATCTCACCTTATACACGTCCTTGCGGCACTTTTCAAACCGTTGATGATCTGTGCCGTGGATAGTCCACAACTGAGGAAATCGCGATGAACACGCAAGTGAAAACTCTAGGAGCCTAAAGCGTAGAGATCCGCGTGGACCGCGATCACCACGAGCACCACCGACTCGTACGTAGTCGGTTTTGCACACTGCGCCTCCAACTCGAGGGGTAGTTTTCAACGCGACGATCGATACCCGGCGACCAAAATCAATCTGTCTCTCTCAAACCAACATAGTAGAGTATATCGCATTCTCCATCTCTTTCTACTTCCCCCACTCTTTCACGCGCACGCTTGCTAACTCCCTCTACCCTCACTCTCATGCCTTCCCTTTCCACGCGCATTGTCCATTCTTGTCGCATGCACAAAAATTACATGAGTATCTCTGTTCAACATTCGCTACATCGTATCCCCACTACTTGTCTCGTTTGCGATTCCTACTTCCACTTTGTCGTAATTGTCTCAAGCTTTTGTATTTACTACACTTTCCCTTATTCCCTTTTCGTTCCTTCCTTTAACCTGTTTTCTCATTTCCGTGGGTTTTTCTGGACTTCCAATAGGTTCCAAGTGCACACGCTTTTTCTCTTTCTACAGCTTTTTCTGCAAGTCGCTAGATTTACGCCCACGCACCGTCTAATCGCAACCCCTTACGGGATCAGCCACGTATTTTTGTCGTTTGCAAAGGCAGCAAAGGAAAGTGGCGCTGAGGATCGTGGAAATGAAGCGAAGAATGGTGTTCATTTTGACTCGATTCATTAATTCCATGCACAGTAATGTTAGATATAAATTAGATCAGGTTATGTTTGATCGCTTGTAAAACAGACAGAGTAGAAAGACATTGGAAATAATAGGCAGAAAACAAAAAACGATGTTTCTGTGGAATTAATAGAGTAATACTGGATAAAAATTAGGTTAGGTTAGGTTTGACCGTTTGTGAAATAAGCAAAATAGGAAAGTAACATTGAAGATCGCATAGGTTTGTAGATAAGTTGCACGAAAAACATATTAACAGTATCTATTTACATTGTATTTTTAAAATCATTGCCAATCAGTCCCGTATTAATATTTAGGTTCAAGCAGAAAATTCTGTTCGTAAGTCCTGGGACTATACAGAATAAAAACACTATGTGAAGTATTGTATTCCGAACCATTGTTTATTAAAAATCATTTAATCTTTTGGCAATAATAGTTGAAAGACGAAAATTGATGAATAAAGAAACTAAAATAAACATGACGATAATGGAAATAACTTTTACATATATTATCACGAGAAATATAAACTAAGCCACTTAGATGAAGATAGTATATAGAGTGTAAAACGTGTTTAATAAACATATTGGACATATGACAACTACACTGCCTGTGAATCCGAAATACTGGATGATTTTCAATATTATCGTTTTTAGTTTAGATCCGGGGTTAATATTGTATAATATATACGGTTTATCCAGCCAAAGGGCTAAAATCGAGAAGAGAAGAGATTTAATTTGCCGTTAATTTGAGCGCTATATTTAAACTTTTGAATTTTACTTTTGTTACTTTATGTTCATTGTAAAAACATTTAATAAATATAATTTTATTTACACAATTTGTTACATAAACTAAAAATTTATAGACCTAGAATCATAAGTATATCATTTTGTACGAATTTCCCATATTTATCTGATGGGAATTTCAACTTTGGTTAACTTTGAAGATTATTATTGAAGGTTATACGGCATAACATATGTTGAAAGTATGCAACAGAAACAACAAATCAACTAATTGGATACGAACCTCTACTTAGAACGATTTTATCGAGCAGAAAATACACGTAGCTTACAAGTTTTTGTTAGATTTTGCGCTGTTTCTTATTGATCCAGTTTGAACATTCGTCGAGGTATAATATCTTGCCAGCATATATTTGCCCATATTTACTATATTTTCTTCCTTTCTGTTTTTGCCTATGTAAGTGATGTAAATCAACGTGAATCTCCTGCTGTGTATGGGATATCTCAGAATAAGATTTTGAAAAACGTGTAAGAAGTTGTTGTTGAGAGCATTTATTATTTAGTTAGACAGAAAAAATTTATTATAGAAAAATAGCATATTGTAAGACACAATTCAACGTTTACTTCGATACGAAAATTTGACGTTTCTGCTTTCCAAAAAACAATAATATCTTATTACAATTCTTATGGTTTACAATTTTTGAAATCTTTTTATGAACAGGCTATTGACTCGAAACTTCGCGCCATCACATTATATACCTACAACACTAGTTTAGGCTTTCCCCCTACTCAGAATGTCGCGAAAAAAAGAAATGCACTACAAAATGTTCGATTCAAATTATTAAGTAATAAAAAATTACGAAAATGCGGAAAAATCGATCTTTAGTTCTTGAAACATTGCCGTTCTCTTCCGTTTTTATAATATAGCGAAATTTCTATTTTACAACTCGTTTCTATTTTTCGTTATCAAATACTATGCTTCTTTTGTAAGAGATAATTTAAAATATTTTGCTAAAATTTATTAAGCAAACCAATCGTTTCCAAATTATAAAACTGAACCTATAATTTCAATTATCGCTAATCTATTATAGTGATTGATGTAACTATATATAATCAATGAGAAGTAAACAAATACTAACAAGATTTTTGATACTCAATGAACAAGCTTGTGCATTTCTATTGCTAAAAATACATACCAAATAAAAACCACAGGAAAAGATGTGATAAATCCATTTTTGTTAGTTTTTTAGTTTGATAATATTTGGTAGCTAAAAGAATATATTTTAATATGAAATAGACGAAAACGGAATAATTATATACAAACCCATGAAAAAAACACTATCTAATACCTATCTAATTTCAATTAATTTTTCTGGTATGTCTATAACGAAATACGCATTATTGGCGTTCTTCGTTAGGACCGACACTAGCACCTCGGGGATTCAAAGGATTTTACATGAAAAGGTCACGGTGTTACATGCAACGAAAGGGGCGCGAGAAAATATATTTGTTTGAAAACTCATGACTCCCATTGACAAAGAAAGGGCAAAGAAGCGATACGAAATATTTTTATCGCAGTCCTAAATGAATATTTATCATGATATTTATCATGAACTCATTCTTCGAATTACTATTACCTTAATATAACAACAATAATTATAATTTCGGTAAAAAAATAAAATAAAAGTATCATCTATAAGTGAAGAAATTAAATGTTAAAATTTCGTAAATCTCAGACATTTGGTCAGCGAAGAATCATAAGAGAAATACGATTAGGTCATGGTACTGCTATCATTCGATAACATTCTGTCGCTTTGTACGCCCCCTATACTGAGTATGCATCCGCTATACAAACCACCCCCACGCGGGCCTCTTGAAAATAGTTCTAAAAATATATGCCGGTTCAGCAGGAGACAATATTAATCTGCCAAAATTGAAATAACTCTTACTTTCATTTTTCTAGAGCAGCTTTCCATTATGAACTCTCTTTAACGTTCATAAAATAAACACGGAAAAGGAAACAATGATATCGCAACGAAGCGTGAAATATCTCTGCAATTTTCTGTTAATTCTTTGTGTTCAAATAACATTTTTCTAGTTTGTTAAAAATATAGCTCCACGATCACGAATTTTATTTTAAAAAATTCAATATCATTTTCTTATTATGCAATTGATTTGTTTACAATTGTATCAACCATATAGCTTTATCATTCTATCATGAATATGGTAGGACACGATATAGGACACGATATTCATTTTATAATTAATTTCTTTGCAAAGATTATAAAGAAATTAATTATAAAGAAAAAACTAACCTATCTATAATATTTGTATTTATTTTATCTCTTGTGATTGTCACTTTATTATGTAAACAATAAATATGTATACAGATTAAAAAACAAACCTATGTTATGTCACTTATAACAATTTATCATTTATCAAAATCTATGCTAACAAAGATAAACCTGTACTTATCTATAATTAATTCCATCGGAAGATCTAGAATTGTACAAAAGTAATAGATAGCAAATTTTCAATTCATATATACGAATATTCATGCCAACGTATCATAGTTTTCTTTTTTTTTTTTTTTTATTAATGACCCTTTAATATAAGAAACATATGATAGCTATTTTGGTAAATAGCCTCCTTATACTGATTTTAGAAGTAGGATGCTAATGTTAAAAAGGTTAATGTTAAAAAATATAAAGAGTTTACATAAAAAGAATGAAATGAACATCTGCTACAGGGTGTCCTAGTAATCATAGTACAATCGGCAAGGGAAAGATTCTATGTGAAAAAAAGATTCGAAGACATTCGAAGAACAAGTTTTGTTCACGTAACGTTTCGTTTCCGAGAAAATGGAATTTGAAAATTTATCAAGTGCCAGATAAATTCTTAACTAAGCACATACAAACTCTATTTTCTTAAAAACGAAACCTTTACGATGACATTTTATTCTACATTTTTTACTTATCTATACAGGATAATGTCCTGCTGATTGTCTATTTGTACTCAGTCATGAATTAGCCAAATCACATGTACGAACCAAATCTCCAAATTTTATTTTATCGAAAAGGAAACACTATATGAACAAATTTTAATCTATATTTTCAATTCATTTTTCATGTGGAATCGCCTTCATGCCGATTGTACATTATTTCTGGAACACCCTGTATATACTTTGAATGCGCATCGTATACTACGATCATCAACAAATATTAAGTCATTCATAATTAATCAGTTATTAGCGACTAGAAAGTATATTTCTATATGTATAATGTACTTACTTATACATGTACATATCTTATTATTAGATATTCAGCGTAAAAACTATTTTATAGAACCAATAACATTGTCAATGTTTTTGTTGTAATTAAAAAAATACATTGACTTGTATATAATTTTTTTACAATTTAATCTTGCGTGTTTTGTGTATTGTCTGCAATTTAAATATTTCACCAAAAGTTAAAACAATAATAACAATGATACCACGCCATCAATCACAGATGTTACTGTAAGTAACCAAAAATGAACATGGCGTCCACTTAACATTTGTTTTCGCTTTAAACCTATTTTGTAATTTATGAAATCGCAATATCACTATACACGTGTTTATTGAATTGTTTATTGAATGTACAAAAAAACGTATAAAATCAATGAATATGTCAAACAAGTACACCGACCAATCGAATATTATATACAGTACATCCGTGTATTGAATAAAGATACTGATTCAAACATTTTTTTGCACAAAACATTAAAATTAGTTATTTTAAGGATAATAATGAATGTAATTTGTTTTAGAGTACTCACCTTGCCTCAATTTAGTGAGAACAGAGAACTATTTGAAACTGGAAATGGGCAAACCCCCTGCTACGATTTGACATAGACGACAGCTGTTTGTAGTTTGCAGCAGCAACGCTAGATTGCTCTTAATCATAATCACCAAGAAGCGGGAAAAATTATGAATTAAAAATGCCTTTTTCTACTTAAATATATAATTCTTATATATATTACGAAATTTAATAATTTTTGGAATAGAACAAATATGATTATAGTACTATTACATT